AAGCAACTGTAAATTAATATCATGTCATTGATATTCTAATAATTTTACATGTATTCATATATAAAACAAAAAAAAAAGTATTGATATCAAATTTTTTATTACTGCAAAAGGTCTATTATATACAGTAATCGAAATTTTTAGTCAGAGATCTCAACCGCCTTCTTTTATTAACTATTTTATCTAACTCCTTCTTTACTTCAAGATTAAATTGATTACCTATAAATATCAGCGAGATAAAGTTTTGTTCACATAAAGAGAATTAACTAATACTTTTCTTACAACATTTCCAAGATCATTGAATGAAAGATTTTTTTTTTAAAAAAAAAGATAAACTATTATTTTGTGAAGTGCATTTGTTAATGCTTTTTCACCTTCAGGTTTTTAAATTAGTTAACGTAAGCTAATTAGATGAAAGGTTAAAGCACTATTTTACTAAGAGTATCTGATAAACATTGCATCAGACGTGTCAATAATTAATAGAATCACAGAATTATAGTGGCTTAGCGCTTGCTTGAACAAAATAGTAATAAGTGGTATTGCTACAGTTACTATAAGAAAAAAATTTTTAGTGCTTTACCGATCTTATAACTAAACGAGTAAGTTTACTGTATTACTATTATTTGTATAGATTATTAAAACTATAGCAATAGTATTATCAAACATGTTCTATATTAAAGCAATATATGGTATCAACATTATTATAATATACACCTTATTAAAATATAAATTATATTTATAAATACTAATTTATTTTGTCTAGAATTTTTTAATCTCATCATCGAGATGATGAGAAAAAAGAGAGAATATCTCAGTAGTAGTAGACTTAAACTTAATAAAATCATGGGCAATAAATTCAAATGTTCTGGTAGTTGCCTATGCATCTTTAATAGTCATACAGAAGTTGTTAATCATGTAAAAGAAATATACAAAACAACATTATTAGGATTAATATTTTGACAAGATTCTAAATGAGCTGAAGATTTGTTAATTAACTTAGATTTACATAAAGTAGATCAATACAGAGATCTTGATAGACTTATTAACATGTTGTCGCTTGCCAAAGAAAAATATTTGCCTTTAACTGAATATAGATATTCTGTTAAAAAAGTATTTGAAGTACAACCAACAGCTGCACAAATACCAACAAATATTCAAAAAGAACTCTCTAAACATTTTCAATAGATTATAAATAAGGACCTTGGAGTTCAGAAAGCACAAACTTACTACTCTAGACATGGGTAAGCAACCAAACAACAAGAAGGCCAGACTTTCTTCAAACAGTGACA